CTTTTGTCTAACGATTATATTATTAGGGCTTTCCTCCGCTCGTATTCCTTACGTAAGGAGGGTGCGGAATTAGTGAAATATTAAACCCTTCAACGTCACGTCGATTGTTATTATATCATTACTGTTGATAGGAACGGAAACTATTAAAACTTTGATATAATAGTATTCAATAGAAAGCGTTTCCTTCATCTAGTTTCCTAATTAGTTATGCTATTATTAATAAAGACAAGTCAGATATAATCATGATTGTTACATATAAGTACTCTTATCAAAATTCTGCTTCTCTCTCGTGTCAAAAAAACTCCATCCATAAAATCCACATGAATTAAATATACACAGAATTATATTATGTATTTTAGAATCATTTTACGCTCAGTTTTATGGTAACCATAACCATCAACCAATTCGCATCAAATCCGCAATGTTCTCTCATTTCTCTTTCTCTCTCTCTGTCTCTCTTTCTCTCGCTCTCTCTCTCTCTCTGTTTAAAATTCGCCCGCCAAATTACATGCCACGTTACATCGCGCTTTTACGATAAGCATGATTATGCTTCACGATAGAACGCAAAATCTGTATTCCATACACGGGCATTTTACAAACTCACGTTGTTTTCTCCGTAAAAATGGACAAGAAACGATATTGCGCTATTGCGAAAAAATTTCCCTTCCTCATCTGCATAATTTTTACCATCATCGACTATGGTTCGGGTTATAGCAAACGCCTTTACGTTTTTAATTTTCGTGTAGCAATTTGTGGATTAATATGAGAACGAATTTGCTTCTCGCATCACTTTGCGAAGTGAGAAAAAAAAAGGTGATCCACGTAATTAGTCGCTTCCGTTATCCGATACGGAACTGGCGCTTCGAAAATCTTTCCGGAAAGATTACTGAGATCGACCGTTACTCCCACGACGGATACGACGCCGTAAAATTTCACGATATCGTACCGCGAACGATATCCGGATATTCCCGTTTTCGAAGCCGCATCGCGGAATACGATGCCCTAAGGGGCCCTCGTCATGGTTACTTTTGTTCTACGACTATAGTATACAGTATTGGGTATACGGTGTACATACGCAAGCAAATTTTCCGCCGCTCTCGTCGTGCCTGTTCGCATTTTCCGATAGCCGAAACGTCAACGCATACGATATACATGCAATGCATACGATGCGCATACAACATGTACGTGCATAATATGTAACGCGACGCGAACGATGCAATTAATATATAACGAAGCAAACGTATGGGGAAAATAGACGTGTAAATTATGCGCGTTCGAAAATTATATCCACCAGTTCCGTTAATATGAGAGAAAGCAATAATTATTCATACATGGCGATAATGTATAATAGATGTATTCATATTGGATATAATAAAAGTTTTTTTTTTTTGCAGATCACATTTTTACTAGAAAACTTTTTAAAACAAAGATAAACAAGTGATTAATAAATGTGAAAAAGAGAGATTATTGCTATTTGAAAATAATTGAGTAGCATTTTAGAAATTAATGTTATTAAACTATAATATAATAATAGAAATGTTAGTCAAAAATTTTGTACCGCAAATTTCCAATATTCTCTGATTTCGCAAAACAATACCGTAGAGACATTCGTTTCGAAATATTATTTGTAACCTGCTATCATTAAATTTTCACTGCTATAAATAAAAAATATATTTTCAATTAGGATTTTCAAACATTTACATTTTTAAAAAGGCGTGTTATATTTTTTTAAATAAATTCAATATTACATTTGAAAAACATAAAACAAATTTTTACTTCACCTAGTTTTAACTTCATTTATAAGAATTTATTTATAGCACTCTATCAATTTCATTAAAAGAATCACAATTAATAGGGTGGTGAGCATTTTAATATTTTAAAATGAATTTTATATCACATGAACTTTTTACCTACTCGATTTCAATAACACATTATATAAATTTGATTTTGTCTTTCTTATATTATATGTATAACATAAACTTATAATAATAAAGAGATTTCTTTACTTAGTTTTATAGTAATATACTTTGTTTAAGAATTTATTATTATTAAATTATCTAACCTTGATCAAGAATCTCGTTCATTTTTTACAAATTTATCATATTTTAAAAAATATAATGTGCAATATTACATTTTTTCATATGTATAATCCCGAATTTGAATGCTTCTAAATTTGAATTATATGTTTTCCTAAATATAAATATGTATATTGTAAGAGCTCTCTCTAGTAAAAATAGCAATAAAAATAAATAGAAAAAAATTACATTTTGTACACGTGTACGATTATTATGATTTTCCAGTGACATTTTACTGCTATAATTAGTGGAACGTAAAATGAAAGAGAAGAGTTTTTTCATTTGTGAATACACACATATTTATTGCTTTTCGATAAAATCTTTTGACACTGTTTAATCAGTGACATTTTCACTAATTCCATTTAAAAGTGCAGCTACTAATAAAATTATAAATTTTTCTGCTTGTCACATATTTTTTATTTTTGCAAATGTGTTTTATACACGAGTGTCATACTTTTATGCAAATGTTTCTAATGTCAATCACTTTTTAAATATGAATTAGAGATAATATCTCGATATAAAAGTTTTAATAAGTAACAATAAGATAATGAGTAAAGACAGCGTATTGTCGCAAGTTGCCAAGATTGTTGGAATAAATATTCAAATTGTCGACAACAGGGACTAAGTAATATTCTTGGCAGTACCATCTAAAATGTTAATTTGTCGAATAACGAAACAAACGCGGAGTATCTAATTCACGGAATAGCCCGAGTGCAAATTAACGATGCCGTTCAGCATCCTATTTGCGAAATATTTAATGCAATCATGCTCAATCTTCATTTAGTCGTTGCATTCACAAAAACGAAATTAAGTCTTATGTAAGAATCACGTCTATTACTGTCAGAGGGAATAATTAATTTCCCCTTGACACTTTGACGCTTGAAATCACCGTTGTTCTCCAGATAACAAGGAAATCTCTACGGCGGAATTTCATGACTCTGTGTCTAAATAGAATTTCGCGCTAGTACTTTCTCCCATGAAAGAATCCGTTTATTTATCTTTAAACGTTCCAACTTATAATTTGATAATCTCGAATATTCTGACATTACCTAATTAGTTGTGTTTATAAAAGATCAATGAATAATTTTTCAAAATTTCCAATTAGAAATAAAAGAAAAGAGATAATTCATAATTCAACTGCTCACATTTCTAAAATTTATCCAGTAAGGAAAAAATAATATTCATCAAAAATATTATCAAATATTATTGAGAATAAAAGTATGTCAACATATTAATTTTAATATAAAAAAATCTGAATAAAGAAAATCTGATATAAAGAATCAGTTTAAAAGATATGTTTTATTAAATTTTTATTTTTATTTTATTAAATCCAATTTTTTTTATTTAATTTAAAGTTAGTTATATTTTATTTGTTTATTTTATCTAAAATTAATTATTTAATCTATTATTGAATCTAAAGCTATTTTATTTTATTTAATTTAAAAGCTGATAAAAGTTTTCTCTGTAAATTCAATTAATTGATATCTTTTTATATTTAAATTTAATGACACACACACACACACGCAATTATTATTTGAAAAATGATCACTCAGGAATTGTTCACTGCTGCAAATTCTTTGTAATCGTCACTTCGGCATCGTGACACCGTAAGAATTATTCTAGAAAGACTGGCAAGCACTACGTGTATAAGAGTCGTCAAATTATTCTGGACGTGCTTGTCGACTGCGCATCCGCCTGATGACATATCTCTCTTTGGGATATATCGTGGTTTGTTTACCCGAAACTACCATCCCAGGTTGTGTTGCCAGGGGATCTGTCTCTGTCACTTCGTGTACAAAGGACTTGGGGGAAAACGGCTGGCATGACGACGACGGAATAAGGAAACTTGAGGATGAAAGAGTGTCGTATAACGACAGCTTATTTCGCACGACGTATTTCAAACGACGGTGACCAGGACGACCGTTAAGATAGATCAATAAAGAGACAATCGAATCCCCAAGTTCATCGAACGATCGACTCGTGGACCTACTTCCGGGCATCCGAAATATCTGGCAGTTGATTTCCGCTCGACATAGAACGAAGACCGACGTAGGCTCGAAGGGGTGCGTTGTCCTAACGATGTGATTTATCGTCGCGATACGAGCTTGACAGGTCACCGTCATCATCGGTACACAGACAGCGGGACGTCTATGTCGATTTCTAGCTTATCGCGGCAGCAACCGGTGGCGATAAGCGGCTTACTGGAAGTCTGTCGGGGAACAAACCCATCGCGTTGGCGGACGTTGCTGAAATAGCGTAAACAACGAAAGTCGCGCGCGGCTTAAGGATAGCGGCTGCAACGTCAACGCGATCTATATGTATAGAGTCTAGAGATTCTGGGTCGGATATCCGATGCTACGCAATCTCTCGGAATCCTTACTCTATTCTTTTCAGAGCGTAAGTCACGAATTTCAGGCAGGAATGTATCGGTATATCTTCCAACGATGCGGTGCGATATTATTCGTATGATTTTTTAACGCTGCACATACCTGACGAATTTATTTATAATTGGATTGAATTGATTCTCTTTATTGGAGACAACTTGGCTATTTATATCGCGTGCGAATATTGCGACCGTATGACGTTGTTAGCAAGTGCCAATTTAACCATCGTCCGACGAACCAATTCACCAATCTGTCAAACTGTCAGCGTAGCGAGCACGCGAGCAACGCGAAAATGCCCGACAAGTGTCATACGGCTCAACGTCGGGCAATGATAAACTATTTTTAGCCACGTCAAGGAGACTTATTAACTGAAATAAGTTCGAGATAAATGAGAAATAAAACGCCAAACTGTTTCGAAAGAATAAATTAATTCTCTTTTAAGACTCACCTTAACTTTAGCGACGCAGATGTAGTTTTCGTCGATCTAATCGCTGAACGATGCGGCCGAGTCTCGCGTTAATAAATGACGACAATGGCGACGTACATATTAAACAACAAGATTTATTATCTGTATATACAAACGTTTACACACACATATCCATTTGACCATTTAATTAATCACGAAGCACGACAAAACATCCGTAGACAAAACATGTACGCTCTTCCAGACATTCGCGCGGATAGAAGGTAGTTTCTTCTTTTCTTTTCTTCGTCTTTAACTTTTCTTTTAAGGAAGGCTTCCGACAAGAGACAGGGAATCTGACGAGGAATCTTTTAACGGCGGAAATTATTGTCTCTGTACACGTGATCGCGCTCGATCAACGACGTTCCAAGTATATATCACGTTTTCCTTAGAAAGAAACTAACGGCTACATATCTTATCCTTAGGTGAAAAACAAGAATAGGAATGTCGATGAGGGTGGAAGAGGAAGGTCCTTAACGATATTTATTGTCTATTTACAAGCGTCGTTAATCGCGTTTACGACGATTTGGCGAGCATCGAGGAACCCGATGCGGGCGGGGGATACAACGACGCCTTCCACTCCATTCTTATATACAGCTCTCTTGTACACGCAAACTCCTCGTGTAAATGTCATGGGTGCGATGCACCGGCAACGTGCTGGGTCGTATCGGGCTCAGACCGCTCTCGTTCCTCTCCGCATAACCGTTCGGATAGATCCACGAGTCCTTGGCGTGAAGCACCGACGCGGGCGACGGGTAATCGAGATCCTCGAAGCACCTGAAGGCATCCTTTGCTCGCTCGGACTTTAGCTTACCGGACGCGTAGCCCGGCTCGAAGATGTCCGGCCGTCTCTCGACGGCCTTGCTCGGTATCACGTCCGGATCGTCATCCGGCAAGGATTCCCCCGTATTTATTCGCTCCTTCAGCTCGTCTCGGTGAACCTCGTTCATCGCCGGCGGCGTCGTCGGCCGGTTATCCTTACCTTCGTATTGCGGCCTCTCCGATGTTGGCGCAGCCGACACCGACTGCGTCGTCTTCGTCGTCTGCGACGGATGGTTGCGACGATACAACGTCAACGTTATCCCGACAATCAGAATGCAAATGGCGGTTACACCGCCGGCGAAGAAAGCCACCAGGAGGCTGTAATCGGCCGTCTCGTCCGATATCCCGCGACCTGGGGAAAACAAGCGTGAAACGTGATTCGCGTAGGAGCATCTCTAACTATCTCTAAATCTCTAATGTTTCGATATTGGAATATTGCTAGATGTATTTATAGTACTTCTAATGGAATAGATAGATTTGCGGAGGTAAACTTCACGTATTTGAAATGTGAGAATGAATTGGCGTAATTCCTCCCCTGTGAGGAATTACTATATTTTTTCCTCTATTTTTTCCTTAATGTCCGACATTTGCACGGAGAAAAAAAATTTTGTTGACGCAGCGTTTACCGCGTACTCGATGAGAAAGTGACCAATTTTGTTAATCAATTATTTGATATTGTGATAAAATCTGTTTTGTTGATAAAATAGAAAAATTTGTTTATAAAAACAAATTTGTTTATAAAAACATGAATTTGCTGTTCGAGCAAATTAAATTTACACTAAAATGGTCTATTTCTACTGAGTGCATTTTGCTATTGTAGTCAAAAGAAGATTCAATTTGTAGCAAATTGTAACCAAATAATTTATTTACGTAGATTCAACAAAATTACTTTCAATAAGTAAAATTAGTATCAGTAAAATTAATATCAAATAATTTAATCTTAGATTTTACACAATTAATAAGTGTAAATATCAAAAACATTTGTAGAAAGCATTTTTTATCGATTCTACTGTTGGTTTAACGTAACTATTATTATCCGCGCAACTTTGTTAGTTTATCCAATGACGATACTTGTGAGATGAACATGAAGCAAATATTATTGATCGTGTCAAGTTAGTTTTGGACCATCGACAGTGTGCGCACGTCACAATTCGATAATTAAGCGGCAATCAGCCACATCGGATTAGTGCGTAACGATGGGAACGCATCCAAACGTTTTCTTTTTGTATTCCGCCGAATCGATTTCCATTAAACGGCAAATTTCGTATCGGCAATTTGCGTCGCAAGGGACGTATTTTACCTCCGGTGCATTACGGTTCTTTAACATTACATGCAACGAAAATCCATACGATGCAAAGTAGTCGTACACAATGCAAGAGACAAGACCGATATGATGCCGATAAGCTCAATTTTTAAAATTACAGAGAGAGATGGCAACATAAATTTAAAAATTTGTGGAGTTGGAAAAATGTACTTTGCACAGATTACGCTTTTATTTTTTAATACTTGCAATGTTGAGTTTCAAACTTGTCGAAATTATTTTATAATATTCCTTCTAAAAAGTAACACTTTATAATGTTCCTTCTAAAAAAATTCTTTAAACAAAAAAAATCGTTAAAGAGGCAAAATCTAATTTTCCACTGATTGTATGTAGCATACTCGTCACAGGATTAATAGCTGACCGTTGCGCGCAGAACGTGTAATTTCCTAGGATGTATTCGTGTATTCTTAGCCGGCAAAGAACATTCGTTCTCATCAGGATGGACATTCGAACTGATGACGACATCAACGGTAGCGTCCGGTGGCGGTATTCGTCCCGACGTGTCCGGTAAACGAGATTCGCTTTTTCCGTGTACTTATTGGATCACGGAGGAAACGCAGGCAGCTTCCGGAAGCAAAGATTAAGAGGCAAGCAGAGGATCGGGTTCGCGGACGGAGATGGCCAGGCTCTTTGGAATTCAGAAAACGCCTCGGTTCGTTAGCCAACGAAAGGTCTCTCACGATCGCGTGCATGTCTATGTGTATATGTGTGTGTACGCACACGTATGTACAACACACGTACACGAATATATACAGTCGAGAACCGGAGACACGAACACAGTTGTGTCCATCATCCTAGGATGCTGGAAAACTCCTTTCCTTCTCGTGACGCGAGCGTTTCGCCATCACCGTTAAGAGAGAATGCTTGCTACCCCTGTGGGAACAGGGGAATCGCTCGAAGGGGATTGGCGCCAAGGGTTTCGGAACGTTTGACGGGTTTCGAGCGATTCTCGATACGCGATGGTGGTAGAGGTGCATATACAGTCAAGATCCAGGATCAGCTCTCGCCACAATCGGGGTAACATCCGTGTAAGCGTGCGTACGTGCGTGCATACAGCGATATACGCACACCTAGTTGTACACACGCACACACGTTTCCACACAGCGGAACCCGGCGTGCGCGAGTCGGCATGAATAAACCATGAGGATGGAAATTAAAGACGATAAATGCAGCTGGAATGAGGCAGCGTCGAGGAAAGGGACTTGGGCTTTATGGGATTTTAATTCAAGGTTCGCTGATAGAAACGAGATACATGGGAGGAGAGAGAAGTAGAGGGGAACAGCGCTTTCTCGAAAGTGACGAATTCGTGTAATTGCGTCGACAACCTTCGACGGAAGTTGTTGATTAGTAACATCGACGAGCAACTTGGCATCGCGCTCCCATCGCAGATTAATATTTAATCGAGGTCTCCTGTATCACACGTGCTCTCGATGCTAGAAATGTGCAGCAAATCTCGATTCCGACGACTCGAATCCAAAATAAATGTACTCGCAAAATCTGAAAGACTTAGAGATAGAGGAGATAACCGGAGTAGCGAAATACATTTATCAAATATTTCAACGGTGTTTCAATCGCGAAAGTGAAATCCACTATTATTAATATGTTACAACATGGGAAAGATGATAAATGTACAAAATAAGGGAGTTAATAAAAGAATTTATAAAACTGTAATGAAGCAGTCGGCAAATTTTGTCGTATCGTTCTCATGCAACAACCTTTTGTATACTTTAAAAATAAAAATTAAAAAAAGAAGCAGGAAGCAAAACGTTTAAAATAAAACAACGAGGATTTAAAGTCTCTGTGAATGAGAAATACGAGAGAGACACATTAAAGGAAGAAGTAAATTTCTTGTGGCATTTCGAAACTGGTTTAAATATGCATATTAATTACAACGGAAATAAACAGGAGTACTTACACGACGTGTACAATTAACTCCACCGTGCAATTCGGTTTAATTAATTAAAGACGCAGTCAACCGTTTCGAAATTCTTCCAATGATATCGTTAACGCTTATTAACCCACCTCATTATTATTTCGCCTCTGATGTTAAGATTACGTAATGAAGGTACGAAGGTTAATCATAATGGGCAAACATTCTCTATCGACGTAATACAATCTACATACATTAAAGGCAATAATAGTAACTTGAAATTATCCAGTTGAAAGATAGCTCAGAAGATATTTCCAGAATAAACTCAAGAGACATTTCATAATCTCTAGAGACTTTATTCCGAGAGTAAAATTTGTCGATCAAAGTTAATTCGTCTGCATCCAGCGAACATTCGCTTAAGTGGTTCGACCGTTTTAAGTAATTGACGAAGATACAAGTAATTTGTATGAGACAGGAGTGGTATAGATGAGTGATATTAGAGTGATATAGATGTACGAGATCGCGACTCCGAATTAAACTCGAAATAAACTCTTATAATTATATCATCAGAATCTCAAGCGGGACTTTAAAAGACAATAAAACTCACCAGTGGTATACATCGCTACTCCTTTGAGTGTAACTGGTTCCAAGACGACGGGATCGCTCCGACCCTTGGCATTGACGGCATAAAGATGAAGCCTATAATTCCGACCTGGTTCTAAGCCGGGAACTTCGAAAACTGGACCGGATGAGCCGGATCTGTCGGTGTGATTCAGGTAGATGGTATTGGCATGATAAACGTTCTCCTCACTGTAGACCTCTAGCTCGTAATTAGTCAAGGGCAAACCACCGTCGAATCCCTCGGAGCACCTGACGATCAGCCAGTCCGCGTCTCTCGAGTCGGTGGCTTTAAAGTCTTCGTGACCTGTTTCACATGAACGCACACATTTTGAGAGTAAGCTCCACTTCCCGAAGGAAGAAAAACACATCGAATCACTAGACCTAATTACTTTCCGACGCGAGTATCGTTGCGGCAAAGCGTTCGATTAAAGGCGGTCAGCTCAAATTAATTGAATAATAATCTCAGACTTGCGTCAAATCAAATATATAACACATATCAAAAAATTATAGAGTAATTAACAATGCTGATCAAGAGATTTGCATATCTAAATTAACTACAAATCCTCAGTTCGCGATCACAAATTTAAACGAATCTCTCAGAGGCGACTTTTAAAATAAGTATTAATCGAATCGCACATTTTGTAAATTTTTATCAAATTAATTAAAATTCGAGAAACAAATAAAATAGTTTTTACTAATTTAGGGAAAAAATATTATTTTAAAAATCCTAATTTCCTTAACAATCATAACTTCTTTATAAAATACTGCGTCCATTGTTTCGATCAAAATAATTTAGAAGGAAAGATCTTGCTCGTATAAACAGCGATAATCGATACCGAGAGACTAATTTCACGAACGTTTTCACGGCGATTGCGTCTTTCGAGGGGAGACAAGGAAACAAGCTGTTGAACGCAACAAGGGTATAAGGCGTCATCCACGATGATGGCCGGGCATAATGGCGCAGTTAGCAGGTCGTTGTAAGGGTTCCGGGACCCTCCCGGCTCACTTACCCATTCGATGCGCGTAGGGTCCGGTCGACTGTAGGGCTGTGCAGTTTTGCAAGGGGTAAGGTTTCCCGGCGACGATGATCTGAAAGAGACAGGGCGTCCTCTGTTCTCCTATCCGATTTTTCGCCCAGCAGGCGATCGTGCCATAGTCCATGTCATTCTGCGGTGTGTAATTCAATCTGGAACCGTGCCAGTTGTTCGTAATCATATTGAACGGTTTGACCTGGGCGAATCTGGTGGCCGGTACGCTCATCAGCTCCCCGGAGTTGTTGAACGTCCAATGGAAGGTCGTGGGCGGCGGTTTCGACTGTACGCCGCAGACTAGCGCGATCGTTTCGTGCTTCAGGGCGCCAACCACTTGGGTGGAAGAGCCGTCCTTGCAGATCGGTGCGTCTGAAAATACGAAGGCGCCGGCTGGTAGATTCAATTTACCGTGGGGCACGTGGGCATCTCGGTGAGAAAAATAAGAGCTGTCCACTAACGCGTGGTTCGCGATTTTCATTTCTTACGCGGTGAACCGATTATTGACCCGCTTCTATGTAAAAACACCTTTTCATCAGCGCCATCGAATATCGATAATTTCGCGCGATATGAAAGTGAATGTATTAATAAAATTAGAATAACGACATAGCAGAAGGATTCGAATGATGAATTAAAAATACTTTTAAAATCGAAGTTACCTCCGAATCGCACGGATCGATTCGAAACAGAATGTACTTACACATCACCTCGAGGGCCACCGATCTGCTGATAGCTTTCCCTTCGATATTAACTGCCATGCAAGAATATTCCCCGGCGGAGGCTTTCGTCACGCTCTGTAGCACCAGCGATTGTCCACCGGGAAGAATAATCCCCGCGGTGGTGTTCTGATGTAACTCCTTGCCATCTTTGAACCAAAGTAGTTTGTAAGCCTTTGGATTGGCTCGTACGTCGCACTCAAAGTAGACATCGTCACCCTCGTTTATGTCGTTCGCCTTCAAACTGGAACCCAACTTAATGCTCACCACCGGCACATCTGAAACCATCGAAAGTAGCGAGAAGCACCTCTCATCTTTCAGTTTCATACACGATTGTTAAAATTATTAACAACAAAGGATTAAGCTTTCTATTCATTCTTTAAGACTCAAAAATCTTTCAAGTTTTAATTTAACAACATGGAGATAAGCATTCGAGAGATTTATTGCTTACAATAAACAATCAGAGGCCACTTGTCCTCTAAGGCACTGTTAGGTACCACGGGATTTTCCGCCCTACACGTCAGAAACTTTCCATCGTCCTCGATGGGCGGCACGTAACTTAACACACTTCTCGTGACGTTCGGATTATCTGCGAACTACGAAGAACTCAGAATCCACGCCGCCGCGATACAAATGTCATCGCTTCCCTTATGTCAAACACGATAACCGTCCGTTTGCAAAAGATGTACTCACATTTCTAGCCATATGTTTAACTTGATGGGCTCCTTTCCACCAGGTGATCACCGCCTCCGGTCTAGAACCCCAACTGATACATTCGATCTCGTAGGTTCTTAACGCCGACAAATGCAATCGCTTATTTGTAATATTGACTATCAGCGGTTTCACTGAAAAAGAATCATTTTAATGTAATTTGATGTAAAATATTTCATTTTCTTAATTCAATTAAGTTATACATACACATTATCGAGTCATTAATTTTAACAATAAACATTAATAATAAAAATAATGACAGGATTAATATAATATAAAACGAAAATACACACATGTATGTATAGTGGAAACTCAAATAAAAAGTTACTATAAAAATTAATTTATTATAATTTTTCGTAATTATTTCAGGCACAATTTTATTTAATTAACATAATTACTTACAGTTCACATCCAAAATGATTTCAGACGTCTCAGGCGATATAAGGTGAGTATTGTTCGCCATGCAAATTAGCCTCGCCTCCAGTAAATTTCTGGTGACCTTTCGTACATCCAGCCGATTTATCGTTATATACTCATGCTCTTGCGTATACGTGTCGTCTAAAATCTTGTCTTCAAAATGCCACGTGACCTTTGGCGGAGGCGACCCTCCGATCACCTCGCACAATAAGGACATCTCGCTTCCTTCGTTAAACGGTTGCGGAGCCAGACTCCTGCTGACGCCGGTATATATCATGGGCTTTTTCGGTGGCACTGTGTCAGCAAATTGAATCTCGATTATAATATTTCGTTTCTGTGATATTGACGCGCACGATATCGCATTATACGCCTGATCTCCTTGTCACTTTATCATACGAGATCAATTACATTCATTATAAATCTATACTCTGGTAAAATAATACAATAATTATACACACGTGTACTATTCCATTATTCACGAACTGATTTCAAACTATATCTCTGTGTATATACATATTCGAGCAATGTTATTAAAGCTTTAGTATCGTGAAATCGTTGCAGCGGATAGCGACCCTCAATAAAATGAGAATTAACACGTAATAGCCGATGCTTTGATTTCCTTTTTTCCACGAGCACGCCGGTAACTGTAGATGAGATTAACACCTGTTGAACCAGTATTATGACGTTCAATTAATTGATTCGAAATCGTATTACATCGTTCTTATGATTAAACGCACGATGACTCGATGTTGTTTGTTCATGTAGCTCGCTGGAACCGATCCAACCGCGTCTTTCGACTTTGTAACTTTATTTCATCTCGCAGCTTTATTTCCACCTGACTTTTTCATATCCAATTGTTGCGCAGAAGCTTAAGGTTGACAAATCAAATTATTTCTCCGATTTACTATATCGTTATCGCGGTTATGCATTCCCGTGAATATATAAGGAAATAAATAATACAAAAAGATATAATACCAAATGAATAAATCACGAGTAAAATGGAAAAGTAGCCGTCCATATGCGCCGTTCAATTAAAATCTCATAAAGCAATCTGCCCGCCAACGTCGCTCGATAAGCCGCAATTTCGCATCGTAAAATGCGACATTATGTCACAATAACAAATAATTGGAAAAGTAATGAATTATTAATCCCACAGGGGCATTTTTGAGATCTCGACTCATTATATGCATATCTAGACTTTGTTCTTATTTTATTATTTTAATTATTAATTATTTTGCCAATCAAAATAAAAAAAACAAGCAGATTATAAACGTTACATAGAAACATTATATTGCAATTTTTACTCGTAGTAGATTATAATTACCGATTATGTTTAATTTTTATATTTATTTCCTTGTAATATAAATTTTAATAAAACACTATTATAAAAAAAAGTAATATTAAATTATATAATATTCAAATTTTCCATTTTTATGCAAAAACGTCATGTTATACTTTATAAATTTTATTTAATTAATAGTCTTTATATTTTTGCATATCACAAAAAAATCACGATAATTTTTAAGCATGATTATCCTTTTTAAAAATAGATATAAATTTAATACAGACCTACACATATAATCAAAATATTTATTGGAGATATCAAACAATTTCAAAAGTTATATTTAGGATAAATTCTTCTAGAATTAACAGGTATAAAAGTAGATTGTTCCAGCTTTCGCTGAAAAACTCACCTATGACTGTAAGATTAATCTTTTGATTCTTCGTTGGACTATTCTTGAAATCCACTCTGCATCTGTACACACCACCATCCGTGGACTCCAATGGATTTATCTGCAGCTTGGCGGGCTTTACGTCCGTCTTCATAAGCGCCCTTTCACCGAACACATACGGATCCGACCAAAGCTTCGGTTGAGCTATCTGTTTCCCTCGAGCGTCCATCCTGTATATCGGTCCGCCGTCCCTTTCATCTTTGTACCAAAATACCATGATGACCGTTTCGTCTTTAGTAGGCGGATCGATGTCGCAGGGTATCTGAACTTCGTGACCGGCCACTGCATTAATATCTAATATCGGCACTGAAAAGTACAGGAAAGCGACAGAGTTATCCTTACAAAAGGATACTATTTTCTTTGAGTTATCTTGAAATTCGCTTTGTTCTATATTTCGTCGAAATTTCTCCTCCAGTTTGTTTTCGCACTCCACATGCTAATTCAATTAATCGATGCTTAATTTTGATTGATGAATAATGATTGATTTTTTTATCCGAATTACAGCTGTAATTCGGATAAAAAGACTTGTCTCTTATTACGCAACAAATTATTATCGTTGAGAAAGTGCTCTGATGTAAATTCCCAATTGTGGTTGAACAATCGTAACGGATTACAGACACTGTACACGTAACGCGACAATTCTCCAGAGGAATACGCGTATTTTTAAGCAAGCGGCATTGTCCCGCCGCGTCTCTGCGGCTACGCTAACCGGGACCCTGTCTGATAACAACACGACCATACGTTTTCTCGACGAGACCGCAAATTTGGAGTTTTAGTAGTCACCGTTGGCGCCGATCGAGTTACTGCAAATTGGTCGAACGTCGAACCGGGCGGATCGAAGCCGGGATAGAGCGTACATACACACGCGTACTCGCATATTGTACACCTACGTGAATCGCGTGCACGCGAGGTCGAGGGTAGAGAGACAAAAGTTGCCGCGCGGTGCACGCAGATGGATCGCGCACAACCGAATGAACCCAATTAATCGGTCTACTTGTCGATTTATAGCGGCGCCCTGTGTGTGGTTGACGCCGTCAGTCGTCGGGCGCGATTTTATTGGCTTTCATAGTCGTCTCATCAATCGTGCCGGCGCCTAACATCCGTCTGGCCGACCGCGATCTCGTTATCCTTCTCCCCCTTTGACCTTAGACGTAACGAGTGCCGAGAGAATTACCTTCGAAACGGGCATCGCCGACCGCCGCCGGAGATTAATTGAGCGCGAGCGCGAGCGCGGCCGACATGTATCGACTTTTTTCACTGTGAGAGTCAACGCCGGGCGCGGCGGGCGAGGAAAAACGTGGCTTGGCTTAGCCGGCGCATAATTTCAAGTTTATATCGAGAGAGTTAAATCTGGTCCATTGATCGCATATAAAATGGTTTTATAAAGAGAAGTTTTATTATACGATTATTTTAATTAATCATTAATCGATACGGGATTAGGATTTAAATGTCACTAGCTACTTATTTAGCAATTATTTTTCGATATCCAGAGATATTAAGATCGATGCATCAGATCGGAGTAAATTTTCTTTGAAACTATTCTTACTTATTACTGGCCCGAATAAAATCGGATTTTTGTGTTAATAGAGCGCAATCGATTATTCTCTCGCGTCATGACTCAAACGCCGATCGCGTCCGAATTCCAGATGCGCTAGATGACACGAGCTCTGAGATTCATCACGGACGATGGCAGTGTTAATGATACGATGTAATTAATGCCGGGTGATGAATGGCCATACGCATGGAGCAACTCGTTAACAACGACAACGAGCACGTGACTCCGCTTTCGCACCTTTGCCCTCCTCTAATACGTGACTCTGAATATTCACATGACGAACGCGCTCGCTCGCATATCGCGAACGCTAAAGTTACACACCGAGTACAAAGTGCGCGAAACAATTATCGCGTTATCATGGATAAAAAAAGAGATATCCTGCATAAACATTCGTGCCAAAAATAAACGATGCGATAAGTTTCACGACGCGAGATGTCATAATTTTCCAAGCGCACAAGCGCAACTTCACCGAGCGCGGATTTGCAAAAATTACTGCAGCACGTTCAATATTTAGAAACCGCGACGTTAATGATCGCACGAACAGAATCAGTCGCGAATACGCCAATTAGACATTACGAAAGAATATTATTATATTTAACAGTGATTAAAACGTTGATCGCGTCCTATTACCTCGTTAAGTCCTCTCATGAACTCCGCAAATTGATGACTTAGACAATGAGTCATCGACAGACTAGACGTATACGTACATACGTAGCGACGCTTATGTATTCCGTATGTGCACCTACGTGTGCGTCGCTCTCTCTCACGTGCGTATCACGTTCACTCGAGAGAGCGTGGCAAATATCCGTTTCTCGGGTAACGCGAAACACATACGGATCCCAGAGTAATTATTCAAAGCAAACACGAGCATCGTCGTGGATCGGTAATACATCGCATTACTCGCGCCGTGTATACACGGGACCGGTGCATACGATTTAAACATGCTGCTAGGAACGGATGCGAAGTAGCGGATGCGCGGATTGGCGAACGGATCAGCAATGCTTGTCGGAGGTCCCCCGATAACGCCGATTTAATAATCGATAACTTACGATCGCTGAAATTGTAATTGATCGTCGATGTTGTGCCTTTGCTCGTTCTTATCTTTGCCGCATGATTGTTCCAGTGAAAAAAATTCTCCCTCGTACAAAACAAAATATACGAGAGATAAAAGTTGGATCTGGTATTTTTCATAAAATATCAAATTATTTCGATTTCTCCTTTTACGAACTCGAACGTATGATGATGGAGCAATGTGTTCTTGCCAACCATTTTCTACAAAAAAAAATTAAATCTCTCTCGTATATAAAATAAAATATAAGGGAGATAAAAGGTAGGATCTGGTATTTTTCACAAAATATCAAATTATTTCGATTTCTCTTTTTATCAGCTCGAACATATTATGATGAAGCAATGTGTTTTGCCAACTATTTTCTAACACGCAAATTCAATTTGCACCGCGACCACTTTGCAATTTGATAGTGCGAGACTTGTAATTTGATCAAAGCACCGCCTGTAAACATTGCGGGCGCGCAAATGTAAAAGCAACTTCTTCCCTGTAGATTCAGGCATCGCTGACAAACTGACGACTTCGCAAACATGCAGAAGGTAGAATCCAACACACACCGGGAAGCGACAACAAGAAAGTAGGTGGATGGCGGTTCGAGGATGTACTGGCGTGAGTCCCGGAAATTGTATTTCGCATATTTTCATACATTCGCGCTGAATATGGTAGAACCGAGCAACCGAATAGAATGGAATTTCCTACGTACAATATGTGAAATTTCGAGCGATATTTTCGACGCCGATAAAAATAAAAGGATGAGTGTCTCACGTTCGATAAGAATCGAGGAATCGCCAAAAGGCTGAGACTATTAATCTTCAATTAATCGCGTATTCTTGCGTACTCACGCGAATCCATAATGATCAAATGATCGGTAATTTCGCGCACGAATACCGAATCATCGTACAAACACAAAGCGCAACTTTTCCACCAAGACAAATGCACTGGGAAAACTTTGACAAAATGCTCTTTACGTACTTTCTCAAGCTCTCAACTCCGCCAGAGGGAAAAAAGATCGAAAACAGGAACATTGAACGAATATTCCATTTCTCGATAGCCAGAATTGTCGGGTACCGCCTTCCGTTTTCTTGAGTATGCCATCAACTTGACCTAGTTTCTGTATAAACAGTACGCGATATGCAAACTTTAATATAAAGACTAGAATATAAAGACATTTAGTTTATTTCCAAGCACTAGAATATGAATCCTGATTATATGAAATTAATCAAATGAGTCAAACAACGTCGTCAATTTGACATTTGTCTTTCGCGACCTAAACGATTTTTTTGAAGGAACAAATTATCAAACTTCAGAGTTTGGAGCTCTTATAAATTGTAGATTTCTCGAACAATGATCTCATTTGTCGTAGCAATTAATTGTCCCCTGAGGATACAAAAAATTTTATGTACATTTCTCCATCCAACTTCGTCAGAAAGATAAATTCATCAGCGTTTGTAGATGCTCTAATGAAGAGATAATCGATCTCATTAGAACAAGAACATAAATTTTGCTTATTTATAACAATTATTATCCCCGTCAGTTATTTAACTTTGTAACGTCAGTAACTCGTCCGGAGCGTGTAAACATCAGCGATATGCAAACGTGGTACCGGCTCCTTTACCGCCGCATCCGGGAAAACGACGTCATGCCGCCCCCGAAACCGCCGACTGAACAAACACATGCCGGTATGACGAAGAAGGCAAACCAAGGAACAAAGATGAGAGAGAGAGAGGGAGAGACAAATGAATGTATGTACATACAGAGAGAACAAAGTAGGTAAACCAGAATCAGTCTTGGTAGGGGAAAATTAGACGGAAGTAGATGAAGCGATAAAAGTATGGCGGACGTGTGGAAACAGGACAAATAGGCGTATCGATGATGTGAGAGAACCAATTTGTGGTAAATTATTTAACAAGCCCATTGCAGGCGGATATGGCGAACGAGGAAACCAATGGCGGTTTGTGTACCTTTAGCCACTAGCCTCGATGTTTAGTATGCTTGTTACAATAATAATGATAATAACGGGAAAAGGCAACAAACATGCGGTAAGGTGTAAACGTGCGACAAAATTTGCGGTTTAACTGGCACACGTATGGAACATGTGTGTGTGTGAAACTGAAGAAAGTGATTCCAAGTGAAGAATGCAAGGGAAGAGAAGAACGATTCATTACATGATTCTGCATTTCGATAGCTCGATCGGGTTTGGAAGAGCGAGAAATTCCTGAAACTGGAGCACACGTTGCGTAATTTGCCACTATCAAGAATTCCCAACGTTTTGCGACTTCGTACAACACTTCGATAAAGTCCCGCCGCGAGTCCCACGTTTGTCGGCCAATAAAATCAAATTGCATCCGACGAAAATGCAAAATCCGAACGCAAAATATTCCAGAATATCGCTCGTTGATTATGCTACCGTTTTGTAAATTCCTAGAATACGCTCTCTGAAATTGAAAAAGAAATGAGCATTTGCATATTGCATACTTTCTTTTATCGAATCGGAGGGTTCTCCTTAAAAATTCAAACGCGTAGTAAAAATTAATTCAGGTTTGTAAAAATATACCGAGAGATGACATAACGTATTCCATTATTCTCATCCGCTTCAACCTCGATATTTAATGCTTTGCACACTGTTTGTACTCAAAGTTGTCGAGTTATGACACAATATTGAATTTTACGATGAATCAAGCGTGC